ACAGTTTTGAAAGAACCCTTTGAGGCTTCGGATTCGCTSGATTCAAGTTCRACTCCAAGTTCTTTTAAGTTCCATCTTTGAATGAATCKGTTCCACACSGCRTCGGTCTGAATCAAGCTCTTCCAGTGCTTGCAAACAAAYCTTGCTCTTAAAAGCTCTTCCAAAGGTAAACAATTGAATATTTCTAATAGTACAACGTCGGGAAAGCCTTTCTCCATCTTGTACAATCGCGTGACCTCGCTATCTGGGTGTGTTTATAAACCATGTAGCCTAGCCAGCACAGGTAACCCAGTTTTTATTTCTACTGCCAGTGACTCTTATATATCGTTTGTTGGGGTCGGGGATGATCTGGTAAAAGACWCAGAGAAGAGAACAGTGACAGCCCACTATAAACTATAAAGCACATTATTATCAAGCTGAGGTCTGATAGCCTGCGTACATCGTAAACGCTGGATGAACTCAGACTAAGGTCGATCAATGGAAGTGAATTTTTTTTTGTTCATATATAGTTACGCTTTACCTAGAAAGCGTAATTTGAACATCCCATCCGGCAATTGAAAATAATGTACAAGCAAACATACTCAAAGGCACTAAGAATACAAGGGATAATTTGTTGCTTAATTTTCCTGGATTTGATATTTTGAAAAAATAATTCTTCAYTTTGTTGAAGGATCTGGTATCCTGGGGTCCCTGTGGCCATATCAAACATTTCCGCGCGGAGAATAGGTACCAGTAATCTCGCGCGAAAAAAGGGTCGAAGTGGTTTATAAAACGCCTTAGAAAAGTGTGCTTAGAACTCCGTTGTAATGTCTAAAAGGCCAAAATCAAAAGCTGTTGTTGACTCAGATAGTGATGATTCAGAAGAAGAAGTTGTGGTAAGTGAATTTTATTCGAATTTTCACGATTTGGATTAAGAAATCCGCATGCAAAGTTCGCAAGCTTGACAGATCATGCCGGCTTGAAGCCATATTAATTGTTGAAGTCTTCTTTGTTTGTTAGCTCGCTTTAAGGTCTATTGCTTTATCTATTTGGAAATATCGTGGAATCGTCTAAAGTTTTATAAAGCTTAATTGTAGAAATTTATAGAGATACATTATTTCTGGGTCAAAAAATGAACCACAGGGGAGGGGAGGGTAAATTGACTGTACATGTATGTCTTACATTGAGTTTTTTCAGGACGAATCCCCCAAAAAGAAAAAATCTTCCAAGTCAAGCTCYACTGTAGATGATGCTAAACAAGATGATGGTAGCTACGTATTTCCAGTAAGTCACTCAAAAAATACTGGGAGTTCTATTCTTGTTAAAAGAAAAAAGAAAAAAAAAAGAAAATATAACCTTTACAAATAAAGAACAAATTTTGGTTTAAATATACAATTAGCAGCTTAAAGGGATAGTTTTTTGGCCTCAATCCAAATTTGTTTCAAAGATACTTACAATGTTAACAAGTTTTATAAGAAAACAGCCACAAGTTTTATTTTTAGCCTGAAAAACAAGGCATTRATAACAAGAAATATTTACTTCCTGTCCAGACTCGCTAATAGCAAGAGATGCACAAGAGAGAATTTAGTAAGTAATAGATCAAAAACGAGTGCGAGTGTTTCATCAGGGGATCCAAACACCGAGAAACAGATGAAAGCACGCGGCCGAAGGCCAAGTGCTTTTAGCGTTTCGAGATGTTTGGATTCCCCTGATGAAACACGAAGCACGAGTTTTTGATCTGATTTCTCAAACAAATTGATAATGAATGACTTCAGCTGGCAAATTCCTTAAAGACCCAGTAATTGGATTTATTCATCAGTCCTATTTTGGGTATGAATAGAATGAAAGTGGCATCATCAATCACTATTATATATATAAACCCCAAAAGAGAGAGATTTGTAATAAATTTGTAGTAGTTCTGTTTATTCAGTTCAATTTCATAAGTTGAAATGGCGGAGGCAACCTCCGCGTGTAGCTTTCGAGATCCAACAACTTGAGAAGAAGATGCTGAGTTATTGTCAAAAGCTACGCCACAATCTACAATACAAAACGAAGTGGGCCGTGGAAATTTTCATGTCATGGCAAATGTGTAGACATTACGAAAAACCAAGTACAAACGTATGCAAGATAGTGTCAAACGTTCTCGGACATGTCGAATCGCAGCCTGTGGGTTCGACCATGACCATACCCACGAGTACATCAACAGTACCCGGCCGGTCAGAAGGCGACAAGAGGGAGAAACGCATATCATCCAATGCTCCAGTAAACCCAGTGATCAATTAGTCATAAATGTGTATTACAAAAAACCTCAATAAGAAATATGTATGTTCAAATATGAATGAAGTATTCATAGAATAAAAATAAAGAATAAAAGATGAGTACAAAAGATGAAAAATGTGTACACATCTCTAAAAAAAAACTGACCATTAAATGTACCGTGGACAGCTATAAAGTATAATCGCTTCTTTAGCAAATATAGATCTATCGATTTTCTACGTGTAATAAGTTAACATAGCCACAAGGAGAAATATAAATAATACGTCAAACCCAATACTTTCAACAAAATCATCACTAGCTAAGTTGGTTACGCACTGGACTCTCAACCCAAAGGTCACCGGTTCGAGCCACTCGAATGGTAAGAAATAGTTAATATAATATAGTAAAATAACATAACATAAAAATTGATTAGTTAAAATAAAGATTAGAGAAGTAAGAAGAAGAGAAAAAACACCCCAAAAAGATAAGTGGTTAAAAGTAACGGAGAAGTTTTAAGAGCCTAGCAAATTTATGTTAATGAGTTCCAAACCCATGTGCCTGGATATCCAAACACATGGATTTGGATATCTAAACACACGGGTTTGGAACTAATTAGCATTCGATGTTGGATCATGGTATCCAAAGGTATGCACGTGACTCTAAAATAAACATCCGATTGGACTATGAAGTCATGAATTATTAATGAGTTTGAGAATCATAGTTCAAACACATATGGCTGAGTGCTGTCTATATCAGTTCAATTGCAGAGCTTGTYATTTGCTATAAACCCCAAAATTATATAATTTTTTTATTATCATTGTTTTTGTTTTCTTTTTGTAAAGATTGCCAAGAAACGCCAAGTCTCAGTGAGAGAATTCAAAGGCAAAGTTCTTGTTGATATAAGAGAGTTTTAYGAGGATAGCAATGGCGACATGAAACCAGGAAAAAAAGGTACACTYTTCACTTCTAAATATTAYCTTTTTATTATCATAAGTTTGCAAAATAGTCTCCTTCACRGTTAGGYACGCCATCTTGACAGGTAGCCGAGCCTTTACATCGAAGTGAGACAACTGTTGAGCRTGMAATGATAGATACCTGTGAATAATTGCCTGTAGGTGTGAAAGAAGGTTTCTATCATTGCACGCTCAACGGTCGTCTCGCTTCGATGCAAAGGCACGTTACCTTTCAAGATGACACACGGAACCATGAAGAAGAAATATCATCGATAATAATCTCTAGAAAAATAACATATTCGTGGTAATATAATATATAATATCCTCTCTTATACTTCTTTATTTCATTTATTCACTTATCCATTCAAAATTTCTCTCTCAGGTATATCTCTTCAAGTTGAMCAATGGCAGAAGCTAAAAGATATCATGGATGATATTGATGCAGCCATTGAAAACTTCTAAGTGAAGCAAACTTTTGTATATTATTAATGTTCAATTATTTCCTARAAAGTTATTTATGGAGTATAATTCTCCCAGATAAGCAATGTCTAAAGAACACACCATATCAAACAAAACCCTTTTTCAATTGCATCATCGAGCCTAAGACCAAATGGGAGGATGGGAAAAGAAATAATAWAATATTAAGCTAATACCATAGACCATTATATAGCAGTGTTTTCTCTATGTTGAAGCTGTTTTGTCAATATTCCACAGTTTAAAGGGATTCCATAGATAGTTTTCTTAGAAAGATTTGTTCATGTGTACAAAAATACTTCAGTTGTCTTGAGACCTTATATATTGATATCCAAAAATCATTAATAAAAGAAAGTTATTGTGAATTCTTGTCTTGGTCATTTTGTGTTTCTAATTAATGCAAGGCCACCCAACAAAACAAACTATTATTTTTGTTCTTTCTTGCTTTATTACTCTGTAAATTAGCAGTATTTTGTTGTACAAAATAGACCTTTTCAATAATGTAAAACCATGGTGCATTGTGGTCTAGCTCCAGTACAAAGAATACCATATTTGGCAGCATGAACAAAAGATGTTCATACCAAATCTACACCACAATTGCAATGCACACTTCTATCTCAGGAAAGGCCTATTCATGATATACACTTTTAGTGTTTGTACTCTACTAGAGTTTCACAGTTTTTTAAAAAAATGACCATTGTATTCTGGTGAAAATTATTATGCAGGAGTAGAAGTATTTTTTGTATTCTTGCTTCTATTTCAAAGATTTTGGGAGTTGACTGTTTCTATTTCAAAGATTTTGGGAGTTGACTATGTTACTATTTCAAAGATTTTGGGAGTTGACTATGTTTCTATTTCAAAGATTTTGGGAGTTGACTATGTTTCTATTTCAAAGATTTTGGGAGTTGACTATGTTTCTATTTCAAAGATTTTGGGAGTTGACTATGTTTCTATTTCAAAGATTTTGGGAGTTGACTATGTTTCTATTTCAAAGATTTTGGGAGTTGACTATGTTTCTATTTCAAAGATTTTGGGAGTTGACTATGTTTCTATTTCAAAGATTTTGGGAGTTGNTTTACTCTATGCATAGTACAGAGCTTCCTTATCATCAGGTCATGTCAGCTGGTGTACTTGGTTGTGGAGTATTCTTTGAAATACATGTATTTGTAGTATCAGGCTGCGTGGTCTGACTGGTCCTGTCATTATGCGATATATGTTGTCTTTGTGTACCCTAATACAAAACAATGACATAATTATATATGTATAGTTATTCCCTCTTATTTTGTTGTTTGCATAGTGCAACATGGAATCATGAATAGGGTACGGATTTCATTTACATGATTGTATCAGTTGATAATACATGTCTTGCGTAAGCTTACTTTACTACAAACATTAAAGTGCACATGAACCATTTCAGAAARTCATTTTTAACAAAAGGCAAACATGATGCTTATCATTGTTTTGAAGGAAAAAAAGTTTTTTGAATTTTATTTTCTGAGTTAAGAATTTGAAAATTGAAAATACTAATAATGTGACGTCAAGGGAGGCTTCATTAAATATATGAACGTTGAAGGAGTCGCTTAAAAATGCTTTAATGGCAATAAATTTATTGTAGGCAATGTAGGGAATAATCATATTCCCAGTTGGCGTTCATGAAAAYACTTTTGAGCGACTCTTTCAGCTAGTTTTCATGATGGCAAAGGGAACAGTGAAGGAGACTATTCTTATGACTCATTGAGAAAACAATGGACAAACAAATTCTCTTCCAATCAATAAAACAGACTTAACCAAATGGTTGAGGCTYCGTACTGACGCAGCAATCAAAAATCAGGTTTTATGKGTACTGGATTATTGGAAGACCAGCAGCCTTGTCYTCCAGTATTTAAAACACATTTCAAAATTTCACAAGGAACTCCGACAGAATGAAGAGTGAATTAATGCATGGTAAACTGAACAGTATTCTGTCAGTTTTTTAAGTGCGACTTGGTGTCAAGTGTTGCAAAATGATGATACTCACAATGTGGCATTGTATAATTATTCCAAGATGATATTAATGTACCTGTAACTATATTATAATTACCTGATAGTATCCTGTATAATAGCCACTTAAATACCACGACATCAGCATACTAGCAAGAGCCTCATTGTCCTCACTGTTAGAAGATGTTGGTGGTTGGGGCGGGGGAGGTGGAATTGGTGGCATTGGAAGATGCTAAAATGACATTATTAAGTTATTTATATATTAAATGACATCATATACTATGTCTCTATACTTACAGAATTCGTACTTGTATGTCCAAACATGGGCATCATCCCAGTGGGAGGTGGAAAAGGTGGGAAATAGGGATTTTGAAATGGGAAATTCATCTGAAAGAAAAAACAAAGCTTTCAAAAGTTTATTCATATTTGAAAATTTGTTATTCTGCATTCTACAGGTTTGCAAAAACAAGTATGTAAGACCTTTTGTTGATGCTACACAAACAATGTTTTATCAACCAATTACTGTTATTTTCCAAAAAACTGCTTCTCAAAGGGAACAGAAACTAGTAGATTGAAAGTAAAAAACCTAGCGGAGCAAGAAAGAGAAAAGGTCTACAAAGTTAAATCAATATGGACCTTTTTTCTTTTCTTTTTTTCGCACAGCTTTGCATACACATTTGATGCTTTTATATTATCTTACCCCATAGGGAGGTGGTGGCCAGGGTCCTGGAGGTCTAAAAGCTTGGTGTTGGTATCCATGGGGATGATGTTGGCTATCTCTATTGTGACATAACTGAGATCTGGCCACTTCTTGACTAAGAAAACAAAACCTCTTCAGTGTTTTCTCAAATAATGAAAAGTGAATAGTGAAATGAGAACCAAAATAAAAGTATATAGGCTCAAGTCAAGCAAGGTGACTAGGTTTTATCTTTGAGTATAAAAATKTCAAGAGTTGCATTCTATTGCACTTAATGCACAGTGAGCATTTGCAATGATGCTCTTATAAAATTGCCATGTTATCCCCAGATTGCTCAGGAGATCAAAAAGAKCCAGTCAACAGGCAATGCCTGTGTGGTCAAAATTCCTTTGACTGGTCAAGTCTTTGTGTGATCAAATTTTTAAATTTAAGAAARATGCTTTGAACAGAATACAGGTCATTTCACCCAAGGGACTGTTCAGACAAGTGGTTTTGATCATGTTTCGGACCATTTGCACACTCTAAAAGGACATTTCAAACATGATCAGTGAGCAAAATAGTTTTATTGCGATTCTTACTGTGCTATGAATGAATTTCGTATTACCAGCGTGAAATAATAGTGTTTCTGAATTTTTAAGCACAAACAACCACAAACTAAAAGAACGTTCTGCCGCCATTTTCTTTTGAAACTTGGGGCGAAGCAACTTGAACAACCAGTCTTTTGTGTGAAATAACTGGACACCTTTGAACATAGTGTTACTAACTATGCTTTGAATGACCAAACTAGAGCTTCAGTTCATAATTTTTACCTTCTCTTTGATCTGATAAAAGTAACCTGACAAGTGTATTGTGTTGRAAATGAGTTGATGACAGCTTCGTGCCAGTGACCACTTGGGTATTCTGGTGCCAGGCAAATGTCACTGACTTTCCAGTAACTGTCAGTAAATGTAGGTATTTGGATGAAGGAATCTGTAGGTRTGTCTCTGGATGGTTCTTGAGCACGATAAGGGGAGTCAACTGTATAATAACCTTTGAATGATAATAATATAAAAAAATATGGAACTTGAAATTCTGGTAATGACAACAGTACTGAATTGTACAAAAATATATATATGTTAATTACTAATGTATAGACAAAATATTGCTAAATTGTACTAAATTATGCGAATTTCTTTGCATTCTATTGTCTAAACTAAACTATATATTTGTGTGTTTAGCAATATACATATTTGGTTACAGTACTTCATTATGGTTTGCACTGGAGCAAGACCTTAATTGGATAAAACAAAAGGCCTTTTGCATGAAATGCTCACATGGCACTAAATCTGCCATATTGGATGGCAAAATACCCACTACAATGTTCAAAAAAAAAGAAAAGTCAAGTTTGGTGGGCTGCATTCCTTTTGTTGAGGTTTTTTACATTCTCTTTGTGACTGTTTCATGCAAAAGGCCTATTGTTATTTAATAATTATAATTCAAGTAACCCTAGTATAATTAATAGGAAGCTATACCTTTATCAGGTAGTTTTTCACTTTTCTTTGACTCMATCAAGTCCTTTAGATTTTGTTCTTCTTCATTGCCATATTCATCATATTGAACAATGCAAGTTTTGTTCTCTCTGTCTATTGATATTATTGTTGCTTCATAAATCTCTCTGTCCTCAGAAAACACAGCACAGCAGCAGTCTCCAACTTGCCACTATAAAACATACACAAACAAAAATGACACTAAAGTGGCAGCTCACAAGAATTTTGAGCAAATTTTAACACTGTGAAATATAATTCTATTCATCATCTACATGTAGCCTGAAAACAAAAATTAAAGTACAATATATTAGTCAAAGAAGCGAGAACCAGAGAATATTTTCTGTTTTCCAAGAATCACAAAGTATACCTATGTGATAGTTATATATCATTGGATTACCTGATCTATCATGTCTATTTGGTTAGATTTTTGTTTTTCTTTTCTCTTTGCATTCTGCTGCTTTCTAAGTTTAAAAATGAAGATGAGATAAAATAGGACAAAAAACTACCCTATCCCAAAAGACTGCTACCCTATCCCAGACAAAAAGATTACCCTATTCCAGACAAATGGGCAAAAAATGATACCCTATCCCAGACTTAGAGCTCCAAAAAAAAAGGGGACCCTATTGAGCAGCACATACATGTACCTGTAAAGCAAATATAGGGGAGTACCCTCCCCGGGATGAATAAAGCTTACATGTACGAAAGATGATGAGAGCGGTAAACTAGAGTTAGCTGCATGTAGTGCTTCTAAAGAAACATATGTGAAATAAGATAATTTTACACCGTAAAAAAAAAATTTTGGGAAGTAACATGTACATGCACAAAAAATGGACATTACAGTACCTATTATTGAATGGAGCTGCATTCATGTTCATATTTACCTTGTTTTTCCACCTYCTTTGCCTTTACCACTGCTGTTCCACTTGCCATTCTGTTATTCACAGTAACACACATAATTCTAATTAGAAAAGCAGTCGTTTCAATAAAATCATGAGGGCCCAAATATGACTGTTATGTTCGTAGCAATGCATAATATTCTCATGAAAACTACATAAGGACAGCAGGTCTACATGTACATTTATTAACTTATAAGCTTGACTTCTCTAGAAGAAGTTGTTTTCCAGTTTGAATATTATGTATTACTCAATGCTGCTCGTACCTTAACTATATTTACTGCTCTATCATAGGCTTCAATCAATGCTGTATCGTCCCATAYATCTTCGGAGTTGTCCTTTGATCAAAATAAGGGTAAAAATTTAGCGTCAAACGGCGTGCAGTAGTTCAATCTTAAACTGTAGTGCGTCAACCGAGTAATAGAGAATTTAATCGCAAATAACTCTACACAATTGATACAGCAGCTAGCACGAGTTTTTTTCTAATCCATATTGTCTCAGTTATTCAGTTAATTTACCTCTCCAGCCCTATACAAAACTTCACCAAATCCTTCACTGGAGGCCGACATCTTGAAATTAGAACTAGTGCCAGCTTATTCGGTATGTTGTAGACAGGAATCCCATTACTCAAATGAAAGGCGAAATTAACCTTGCTTTCTTAGTTTTCACAGCACTCCATGGCCTGTCTTCTTTGAACTTGACTTAGGTACTTGTGTCACATTTCCCTACTGCTTGATACTGTACCAAGGTCACAGACTATAGTCTTTAGACTTGAGCCGACGGGTTCCYGGCAAAAAAATTTTCTTTTCTTATGTCCCAGCCAGCTGTAAGTCACATAACAACTGGTTACCAGCGAGAAATTCAGGAAAAAGAACTCTCCAGGCAAGGAATACTCTCTAAGATTTTTTGTCAGGAAAATAAAATTTCCTAACTAAAAAAAGATGCAAGCCGTTTTTGACCATAAAATGTTATTTAATCCTAGTGGTGGACCTTTAAAACGTTTGCCAGAAACAAATTAATTTTAAAGAAGGAAGGGCGCCACATTGGCTTTTGAGATGCACCGCGCTTGTAATTTTTGATTTGAGTAATTTGATTATACGATGTATACGGATATCATTCATTCTCTTCAATTATTAGTATTCACTAGTTTATATTCAATAATTATTTGATAATCAATATTAGTACATTGTAAACTTTATCGAAATGTGAGGAACGTTCAAGTGTAATTGTTGGAGTTTCAGAAGTCTTAATTGTGTTTAGAYCTGTTTAGTTGAATCCCAGCAAATCTTTGGCAACAGCTAGTATCGGTCTTAAGAATTTCAAGAGATTTTTGTCGTGTTTTTTTATCCGAATACTAGTAATGCCTGTCTGATATAAGAACTGTAAAACTAATTTACAATGTGATGATTTGGACAACAATAACGACAATTGAACAGCTTGGTGAAAGCCGTCACATTACATAGAACATCGGTATTCGGCCTCAAACTACCACTCAGCACCCATCCCACCCCACCCCTGTCAAATAATAAATCTACTGAAGAATGATTATGCAAAACCTGAATCGCTTGTTAATTCCTTGGCTGAGCTCTGATTGGCTCGCTGCTCTCTAAGGATTTTGGTGACGTCATATAAACGGGTTAGAAAGTAAAATTTTTTTAAAAATTTTAAAAAGCGTAACCGTATATTCCTACTGCATGACATGGAATTTTGCAGAACATGCTGTATTGATAAGTTTTGACAGGTTATGAAGTCGATTATCACGCAGACCTTATTTTTGCTGGTTGAGGGCATGTGCACAACTGACATCTAGATATGACAAGGATATGCTCTGGGTGTGGCATGCGTTCTTTATTAAAATGCCAGATATGTGAAAAACTAGCATGCATGCAAAGTTGTCCTGTTGGTATCCCTGTGGTGTATTGGTTATAAATCCCAAGATGCTTTGCGAGTATTGTTGGAACTTCATGCCCTGCGCGCGAAAATCCTTAGTTCATGCCCTGCGCGCGAAAATCCTTGGTTCATGCCCGGCATGTGGAAAGTGTTAGTTCATGCCCTGCGCGCGAAAATCTGTAGTTCATGCCCGGCATGTGGAAAGTGTTAGTTCATGCCCTGCGCGCGAAAAGGTCATGTTAGTTCATGCCCGGCATGTCAAATGCGAATGACAAAAAATATGCGAATGACAAAAAATGAAGTGAATTCAAATATTTTTATTCAAGCCCATTGCAAAAGTTGATAATGACAGAAATTGTATATTTGCCATCTGTGTCTTTCTCTGAGGTAATTTTCAACAGTGGATCATGCAATTTTACACTAATACCTTGAAAGCTATCGATTGGTATCCAAAAGTATAAACTATTTGTGGCGTAGTTTGCTAGTATGTAGGGTTGCATAAGCGTTTGTTCTTACTCAAGAGACATAGAACTAAGTTCATGTTCAAAAAAGTAGGCAATATTTCGTTGAGAAGACATAGAATGCTGTGAAACTCCAACACAWCGTGTTCTACATATCTGTCACAGTTCACCTGCAGAAAGGAAAGAAAAAGAAAACAATTGAAATAATAATGAATGTCTTTTAGCTTACTGATGATTTAACGTACATGAGCGATGAAATATATTGATTGAAYAAACGATATAACATGAAATAACCCGCCAAGTGGCTCTGAACATCGTTTTCCACAATTGATTAATACGCGGACTAAGAATAATTTTTAAAAACCTCCCATTTGCGCAAGCCATAGACAAAGCTATAGAAGCCATGCATATAATATAAAGCGATCTAAAGAATAGAGATTGAAAAGCAAACAATAAGATAATGCCTAGCTTCTTGCACTCTACATTGTAGCATAAAATTTCATTCTCCTGCAATTCATATAAAAAAAATCCAGGAATAAATCAGTGCGTGACTTATTTTCCGGTCACGTACAGCTGTCACGCAAATCAAGTTGCAAGTCAACAGGCCAGGCTGCTCGGTACATCATATTACCTACCTGTAC